TCGAATTCTTCGGTTACAATGTCAAAACTTGCAGAATCGAAAGTGTAACTGACATCCAAACTGGTGACAGATGGCCACCAAACCTACGCTTGTATCTATTTCCTTATTTTGTTCCCATGCATACACAAATACAATATTTATGAGCACGAAGATGTACCCAAACTCTGACTCAGACATGACAAGCCTCGACCTATCATCATCACCGAAACGTCCCACTTACTACGTTCAAAGCCCATCACGTGACTCCGACAAGTCTTCCTCGGCGGCACTAACTCATCAGACCTCTCCCACTGAGTCACCGTCACACCCATCCTTTGCTAGCCGTATCTCCAGTGGCGGTGGTGGAGGATCCCGGTGGAAGGGACGGAGGAAATATCATGGCGGAAGATGGTCGCCCGGTGATAAGGAGGAGGAAGGTGGTGATGGAAGGTACGAGGATCTTTATGGTGACAACAGAGGAATCTCAATCGCTACTTGTAGACTTATTTTGGGAGTCGTTGCGACATTGACTCTCTTTTTTCTTCTCTGTTCTATTTTCTTTGCGGCCTCTCAATCATCCTCTCCAATCGTCTACGTCAAGGTACTTTAATCTTTTACTTATATATCACTTAGAGAGTTAGAGTACAATTGTTCCAACCGCTAAATAATTATGTTATCGCCTTTACATCGTAAAACTAGTCGCTTACACTTTCTTGTTGGAGTTAGAACATGCACACGAAAATGCAGATAAAGAACCAAACGGTCCAAACAATATAGAATCAAATTATATCAAGTAGTTGGTGGTCTAGTGGTTCTGATATCCTCATGGTCGCTAGTTCAGCTTTATTTGGAAGGAATGGTATCCCCTTAAACGCGGTATTATTAACTATTAATTAGCTCTAATCACCATGAGATTGATTATAAGCCAACGGTCGTAGTTTCCAAGGTTTTGGTAAAAGAAAACTAAATCTTAAGTGGCCTTTGATTGGTTTTAAGTGGCCTTTGATTGGTTGTTTGCTTTCACATTTTGCTTATAGAATGCTTTCTTCCAAATAATACCACTAACCTTGAATATTTAGAACAAAATTCTTTGGTTAGTTGTAAATGCAAAAGCATAACTTAGCGTTTGAAACCATGCCTTTTGGTATAGGTAAAATCTACAAGTGTTTAATTCTTGACATGCATGAGTTACGTTATAGGGTGTAAATGTGCATAGTTTTTACTACGGAGAAGGTTCAGACAACACAGGAGTTCCGACAAAGATACTGAACTTTGAATGTTCAGTGGAGATTACAACACACAATCCTTCAACATTCTTCGGCATCCACGTCAGCTCCTCTGCCTTCAAACTCGTATACTCTCGTCAATTCACACTTGGCGTTGCTCAGCTGAAGAGTTATTACCAACCAAAAGAGAGCAACCACACGTCTAGGATCAACCTCGTTGCCTCCAGGGTTCCACTCTACGGTGCAGGAACCGACTTATCGGCTTCAGATCAGAATGGCGGAGTTCCTGTGAAGTTGGAGTTCGAGATCCGATCACGTGCCAATGTTGTCGGAAACTTAGTCAAGTCTAGGCATCAGAAACATCTCTCTTGCTTCTTCTTCATTTCTTCACACAACAACAAATTTGTAAAATTCACTGACAAGACTTGTAACTAACAGAAGTTTCTTCATTTTTTTGGTATCGATCGTAACATAATAACTCGCGATTAGTTGTTTTTTTTTATATCAGATGTATTTTAAAATATAATCATATGCTAGTTTTATTGAGTTTCTTTATGGGAGATTTTGTTTAATAATCTAAAAAATTTCTATAATTTGAAACCTTAACCCTATATTTTCAAATATATGAGATACGATGGGCTGTATGGTTGATACTAACGATGAAGGAACAACTAAAAACTATGATTTTCCTCTTAGAAACCCTAACTAGTGTTACTCTTAACGAGGAAGAGTATATACTTAGTCTCCACACAAATCCGTTGTTGGATCAATCTTTGCCACGATTTGGAGATTGGTACACAAATATTGTGATTTTGTAAAGTTTCTTTCTCATTAATTCATACAAGTTTCATGTATCATAGAAAAACTGAGTTGGGTAGTTTAATCCGAGTTGGGCGGATTTTTCGGACCATGGTCTGATTTCAGATAGGACGGTTACCGCGGTCTGTTTTCGGACAAGGCAGTTACGGTAGACTGCGGATCGAGCTGGAATCGTGCTAAGGCCTTTTGGCGGGAACGGTTACTGAGCCAAAGACACGCTGGTTTAATGAAAACACGCGGGAACAGTTATCTGACGGTTTATGGGGCAGTTTATCAGGCGAAACTTCCCTATTGCCTTAGTTTTTACGCGGAGAAAGAAAGAAAAAGACTTAGAAAGATTTTCAGAGAGTTTTACCAAGAAAAGAGAGAAAATGCTCGAGAGAATTCGTGAAAGGCTCGAGCGAGGGTGACTGTGATCGTGTCTGTGTGACAGCGAACGTGTCTGGGCGTATCGGCGATCGTGTCTGCATGACGGATCATCGAGACAAGAGGTGTCAGAACTGAGACAAGACAAGCAATCATCGAACCTAAATGACTAAGGTGAGTGCGTGACCATAGGCCTAAGTCTAGGGTCGTTTTCTTGCATAGATTCATCGATTCTAGGGTGATTCCGACTATATTTATCTGTTTCTGACTTGATCGTGACGATTGACCCCTTTCACCGAGATTTTAGATCAGGCAACACGCTTAGGTGCAGCGATGCTCACTAAGACTTGTTTGGTTGTGGGAAAACTGCTCGGGTGACTTGGGATAATCGGGCCGACAAGTGACTGATGCGATGAGCATATGATTGACTGATGTTATTGACTGTTTGATTGCGATTTCTATACTGTGGCTAAGTGGGACGGGACGACCGTCCTGACTAAGTAATTTTGTTGCTTATGCCTCCTTTGTGGATGCAGGTAAAGAGATTTCCAGTGATGGGAATGTTAACCGCGGTGACTAAGGCTCGGAAAGGAAGGATGGTGGACTGAATCGGGTAGCTAGGTCTTTTACAATATAATAGCTTATTAGCGAACTGATCATTGTAATTGAAACCTTGCGATTTAATCTAAGTATTAAAGTCTATGCTTAAAAAGTCTTGTCTAGATCGAAAACGTTGAAAATGACTAAGTAAAGGAAAAGATTGGAAAAATATAAGAGGTTAACCTGAAATGGCCAAGTTTGGTCGAGACAAACTGATCCGGAACCTCACCGCGGTAAGGAAATCTGGATCGGGGCGTTTCAATTTGGTATCAGAGTCTGGTCGATTCTAGGAGAGTCTTTAGCATAAACGGGTAGTGGGTTAAATCCATCCTTCCAAGCCTGAAGTCTCGCGATAAGTCTTTGTTTCTTTGGGAACAAGTTTTATGTGTTTCTTTGTGAAACAAGTTTCCTTGTGAAACGTTAAGTTAGTGCCTGGCTAACTTACATGGTTCTGGTCATTATAGATGGCTAGGGGTAATCGTAGTACGAGAAAGAATGCGAGGGAAACTGGTGAGAATGCCGAAGGTACGGCAAAGAATGTGGCTGGGGACCATGAGGAAGTTTTAAATGTTGAGAATGCTGCGAATGTGAACGTGGCAGCAGCTGCTGGTGCTGTGGCTGCTACGACTCATGTTGGATTGGAAGCAGTGTTGGGCATGTTGGCGCATGCCTTTGCAAGACTGCCGGCTGCTGCACCTGCTCAATTGGTGCCACCGCCTGTTGTGAACCTTGAG